TTATTCATGGCCTCCGCCACAAGTGGTCGTTTGTGGCCCGGACGGTCCCAGGCATCAGCGGACTGCTAGACCCGCTGGAGCACTCCATCCGACAGCGGTTCATCCCTGCTCTAACCAGTCGCCCCGCACCTGGTGACGAAGAGCGCGCCATACTGTCCCTCCCGTGTCGAGAAGGTGGTCTTGGTCTCATTGACCCGAGGTCTTTGACGGACCAATACAATATGTCTGTCGCTGTCACCAACATCCTCGTGAGCCGGATACTGGACCAAGACACCAACATGGACGAAGTGCCCACCACCATCCATGCTGCCAAGCTAACTGCAGCAGCAGCAACCAGGAGAGCCTCTCGAGACCAAGCCAGTCAGCTCCTGGCCACATGTGATGTGCCCACCCAGCGAACCCTGGGGATGGCGGCCGAGAAAGGAGCGTCCAACTGGCTCACTTGCCGGCCCCTGAAGCAGTTCGGGTTTGTCCTCCACAAAGGCGCCTTCAGAGACGCACTCTGTCTGCGGTTCGGCTGGGTCCCTCCCCGCCTGCCATCCACTTGTGTGTGTGGCAAGGCATTTAACACCAGCCATGCTCTTTCGTGCCCAACTGGTGGATACCCGGCTCTCCGTCATAACACGATCCGCGACCTGACAGCCGACCTACTGCGTGAAGTGGCAACGGATGTGAAGATAGAACCTCCTCTGCAGCCCCTGGAAGGTGAAAGGCTCCGGTATCGCTCTGCCATCTTGGAAGATGGCGCTCGTCTTGATGTGGCGGCATCTGGTGTCTGGGGAAGTCGTTTTGAGCGCACGTTCTGTGATGTTCGGGTTTTTAACCCTCATGCGCGCTCGAACACTTCCTCAACTCCCGCGTCCACCTATGCCAAGCACGAACAGCAGAAGAGAAGGGCCTACGAAGAACGCGTCAGGGAGGTGGAGCATGCTTCCTTTCTCCCACTGGTATTCAGTGCATCTGGTGGGTGCGGCAAGGTAGCCCACGCTTTCCTGAAGCGTCTTGGCCATATGGTTTCGGAGAAGCGGCATGAACCCTACTCCTCCGTCATGTCCTGGATCCGCTCTCTTGTCTCCTTTGCTTTGGTTCGATCCTGCAACATGAGCCTCCGTGGTCACCGTGCTTCTCCCTACCGCAGTCGTTTGGATGCTGCCACTCCTGTTGTGCTGGCAGTCAACGACTGTCAGTTGCGTGACTGAGACTCTTGCGGAGTAGCCGTGTCTAGCCACACTTTTATTATCCGATGATTTTGTTTTGTTTGCTATGATTCCGTGATTTTCTGTTGGTTGCTTTTCTGCTGTGCGAATAAATGCAGTGTGAATTTAAAAAAAAAAAAAAAAAAAAAAAAAAACTACAGGCACAGTGCTAGTGCGTACTCTACGGCACGTGCGCCCAAAAAACCTGTTACGGATAATCGAATGGTCGGATAGTCGATGTGCGGATAATCGATGTTCAGCTGTAGTAGTACTTGTACTGAGCGAACAAAAAGCTGTAAAAATGAAAATGCACACGTTTTTCTCGTATGGTCCATGTATGTAACTAGTACTGGTACATGTACTTGTTTTTATTGTATCACTGTGTTACTAAATTCTGCCCGTACAAGTTTAAAAAAAAAAAAAAAAAAATGCACACGTGACGCAGATCTGGATGTAAAAATAATACTAGTACATGTAACTAACTTTATATGATTGTTTTTTTTTGTTTGTTTTTTTCCACTGTACAGGCCCATGATTACTACCAGAAAAATAATAATAATAATTATTGTATGTATGTATGTATGTATAACTCATAATCACAAGGTGATCGTAGAGGCATTAATCAGCGAGAGAATTGTGAATGATGTCTCTGAATCCAACTCTATCGTGTGCTGCATGAGAGAGAGCATGCAAGGGAAGACCCGTCCAACTTTTAATGTTAGAAATCCATGATGTTGCGGGCCTTCCTCTCGGTCGAGATCCAGGAGTTGATCCTTGCAGGAAGGGCTTGGAGAAAACGTCATGTCTCGTAACATGGCCAAACCACATCAACTTAAATTTCTTGACTTCGTTCGCTAGCCGCATCCTTGCTCCGATGATGTCATTGATTTCTTCCAGGATAGATTGGTTGGTACGCCGGTCGTGGTATGTTACTCCTAAGAGTCGGCGGAAGCATTTCATCTCGAAGGATGAAATTCTTCTCATTGATGAGGCAGATAATGTCCAAGATTGGCATCCGTATAAAACAGTCGCTAGCACAATAGACCTAACAAAACGAAATTTAGTAGGCAAAGAAAGTGATGGCGATTTCCAAATGAATTGAAGCTCAATGATCTTTTGCTTCCCTAGTGCTAAGCGTCTTCTTATCTCCACATCGGACTTGCCATCCGACGTGATTACGGCACCTAAGTATTTAAACTGGGATACCTCTTCTATTCGCTCATTGCCTACTTGAATGGACCCCAGATCACCACCGCCCTCCGGCGCTGCCATTGACTTGGTCTTGGAAGCATTGATCTGCATGCCTAGTCTTGTTGCACTCGTATCCACGTGCTCGGTCAGGTCCATCAGCTCCTCCACAGACGATGCGATTAGATCTATATCATCCGCAAAACGTAGGTTGGTCACGCACATGCCGCCGATACATACTGACCCATCAAACTCCTCCAAAGCGTCAGACATGATGTACTCCAGGAATACGTTGAACAGACAAGGCGAGAGTAAACAGCCCTGCCTGACACCCACTGACGTGGTGAACCAGTCGGTGATAGTGGATCCAACAACGATGGCAGCTTCAGTAGTAGCGTAAAGCGCTTCAATCAGGTCCACAATTCTTGCTTCGATGCCATGCGCTCTCATAATCTTGAATAGCGCTTTGTGCCAAACCCTATCAAAGGCCTTACGGAAATCGATGAAGCAATGATACACAGCCTGCTGATGGTCACGGTACTTTTCAATTAACATTCTGAGGTTGAAGATTTGCTCCACTGTGCTTCTTCCCTTCCGGAACCCTGCTTGCTCGTCCGCCAGCAAACCCTCCACTTGCGGCTGCAGGCGCTTCAGCAAGATCCTCAGTAGCACTTTGCTCGGATGACTGATGAGGCTCACTGTCCTGTAGTTTTGGCACTGCCGAAGGTCTCCAGACTTAGGGATGGGAACAAGAATGGACCTTGTCCATGATGTTGGCCATCTACCATTCGTCCATACGAGGTCACAAATCCTGTGCATAACAGCCACCAACGTATCTCCACCATGTCGCAAAAGCTCGCCAGGAATGTTATCAAACCCCGCTGATTTGTTGTTCTTGAGGGAGTTGATAGCGTATTCGACTTCGGTCCTCAGAATGGGATTGTTGTTGGCATTATCTGATATGGCTGGAGTAACGATTGCGTCAAGGACTTTATCATCTACGTTCAGGTCCACGTTGTACAAAGATGCACCGTACTCACACCACCGCTGAGCTACTTCTTCCTTTTTCGTTAAAGTGGATCCGTCTGCTGCTTTGATCACCTGCATTGCTGATCCTGATTTCTTGCTGCATAGACTCTTCAGAGTTTGGTATGCTCCGTGGGGGTTGTGGTTGGCGATGTCATCTTCAATTGACTTGCATTTATTTTGTAGCCAATTCTCTTTGTCTCGTCGGATTAACCGCTTGGTCTCCCGATTCGCCACACGATACTCTTCCTGTGCCGCAGCAGAACCAAAGCGGCTCCCTCTCAATTGTCGGCGCGTATCACACTGCCTTAGGCATTCATCTGAGATCCATGGCTTTCTGGGCTTCTGGGTGGTTCCTAGGATGGAAGTTGCCGCCTCCGTCAAGATGTTGTTAAACTTATTGACAATATCCTCTGCATTCTCCATCTCCAGCAATGGACGGAAACGACCACCAATCTCTGTCTGGAATGTCGATCGTATTTCTTGATTATTAAGTTTATTGATGTTGAATCTCCTCCTGAAGGACGGGGGTTTGAAGCATCGCTTTAGCTTTAACTTGATGCCCATCAGCACAAGGTCATGATCACTCCCCACATCAGCTCCTGGGAACGATCGGGTCTTCCCAGCCAACACACTGCTCTTGAAGCGCTGGCGGACGATGACGAAGTCGATTTGATTATGATACAGGCCGCCAGGAGAATGCCACGTTGTCATGCGGGATGTTTTGTGGTTTCCAAGAGTGTTGGCAATAAATAATCCATGCGCCTGACAGAAATCCAGTAAATTTTCTCCTCGATCATTCCTCACCCCGCAGCCGAAACGTCCAACTGTGTCCTTCCAATTACAGGATGCGTCCTTCCCGATCTTTGCATTAAAATCGCCCTGCAGTATGAGAAAGTCCTTCCTGGGAACACCGTCTACCAGGTCTTCTAACTGCTCATAAAAATCGTCGATGTCCTCTTCTGAACTAGCTGCAGTCGGGGCATAGGCTTGGATGATTGTTACATTAAATGGATGTGCTTTCAAACGCATTGTAATGAATCTGCTGCTAATTGGTGTACACTCCATAACACTTGAAATAACGCTCTTGTGTACTAGGAATCCAACACCTCTTTCGTGGCTTGAATCTTCGCCGCAGAACCAGAATTTGTTTCCCTTCGCTGTTGTTTGTTCTCCAAAGCCAGTCCATCTCGTCTCCGCCAAGCCGACAATATGCCATTGGTACCTATCCAGCTCGTACTCCAGCAACTCCAAACTTCCAGGTCCCCGAAGTGTCCTAACATTCCATGTTCCTGACGAAAAAACGTCCTTTGAAAATTTCAAATTTTCAAAATTCCCAAGGTCCTCCCTGCATCTCTCTCTCGCAACATTTCTTGCTCTCATTCACAAAACGTCTCACCTATAACGTTTCTAGGGCTGAACAAACGAAGCAATTGCCTTGGCGGTGCCCATATCCTCTCCAAGGCCTAACAAACGTGGAGCTAAAAAACTCCCAACCGCTCTGCTCCGCAGTCTACGAAGTGTATTATTATGTAGCGCAAAATAAAGAGAAGGAAAATATTAACCGTGTCATGTTTGTGATCAGCCGCCAGCAGGAGAGATGAGATCATGCGTACCGGTATGCCATGGAGCATTGGGTACATGGGTATGCCATGGTGGTAATTTTTGAATACCGGTATTGAAATATTGGAAGAAACAGGAAGAGGATAAATTAATGGTGCTTGCGCAGCTGCTTTCCGTTCACTCTCCTTTATAGAAAGAAGACATCAAGGACATTGGGTTGCTTTGGAGTTTCCATGCTAATCCCAAACTGTGTGTTCAAGTTGACGAGTCCAACCCTTGTGAAAGGGAAAGTTCTTCATCATGGATTCTCGCAATATTGAGGAGAGTGCAGCTGATGGTTCTTCTGCGACAACAGCATCTTCACAAAGCAACAAAGAAAGCGAATCAGTCAATAGGCCCGGTGGTATCTCGCACCAACCTGCCAGTAAGAATTATAATCCCTACTCTGCAGGTAATCCCACCGACAGTTTACTTGGAGGTCAAACAACGTTTTCTCGAAGGGTGAGTTAGGGTCATCTAGTCTCTGATCTTGTCACAAATTGATAATGGACCAGTCGTCTTGCGTTCTCTGCCTCGCATAAGATTAGAGCCTTCATTGCTCATGCTAATGCTCTCTCCTGAACTTTACATGTGTTAGTATGAAAGTCAGTAGTCCGAAGAGTGCACGTGCTGGGAAGTGTCACTGTGGAATGATGAACAGCTACAGGTACGGTGGAAAGCTGCTACTTGCCCTCCTGACTACTGTAAATATACAAAATTTCGGCGCTGCAAAATTTCGGCACTTCACGATTTTTGACATTTCGGCGGCGATTTATTTTCGGCGTGGGGTAGAGGGCATGGTATAGTGCGACAGATGCTGTGAAAAAATTCATCGGCGTTTTAATTTAGGCGTTTTGGGTCGGTGCCGAATATAGCCGAAATTAAATAGCTGCCGAAAATTAGTATACCGTACTGGCAATATATGTTGCCACGTAACGCGTAACGCAGGGGGGTGCGGCGTAACGCGCGACCAGGCTAGTGCGACAAATTTTCGTTGCGTTCGTAACGCGCGTCAGGCGGGGTGCGGCGATCTTTTCATTGCAGTTTGCACTGCAAAGGCTGAAAACTGTGAAAGCACGTGTACCGCGTGGCAAAAAAAAGGACTGCGGCAATATAGAAACCTGTGTAACGGCTCCTGTGCGACTTTGCATGTAACGCCCTGCGTGCGGCAAACATGTGCCAATGTAACGCTTCATGGCCTCACTGCGGCAACATATATTGCCAGTACGGTATTTACAGTATCAGCTAGTAGTAGTAGTAGTAGTACGAGAGGGAAAATAGCCCAATAGTCACATTTATAATAGCCCAATAGTGCATGCTAATAATTATGTGATGGATGGTGGTATGTGATGGATGGTGGTCTGTGATGGATGGTGGTCTGTGATGGATGGTGGTATGTGATGGATGGTGGTCTGTGATGGATGGTGGTCTGTGATGGATGGTGGTCTGTGATGGATGGTGGTCTGTGATGGATGGTGGTCTGTGATGGATGGTGGTCTGTGATGGGTACTGGTAAACTTGAAGGAGCGGCAAAGGCATTCGTCAAGACAAGACGGTGTCAAGCAGGGAATGGTAGCATGCAGGGAATGGTGTCAACCAGGGAATGGTGTCAACCAGGGAATGGTGTCAACCAGGGAATGGTGTCAGCCAGGGAATGGTGTCAGCCAGGGAATGGTGTCAACCAGGGAATGGTGTCAACCAGGGAATAGCGTCAACCAGGGAATAGTAGCATACAGGGAATGGTGTGAACCAGGGAATGGTAGCCTACAGGGAGACAACACGAGATCATAGTACCTTAAATGATGTGCGTTTTGAACCCGTATTTGGAAGTTCTACGTGATACGTAGTCTATGCAACTCACGTTCTTGATGGCTACCTTGACTGGCTGGCCCCAAGCGTGGCTCAGACAAGCCATGCAATAATGGGAGCGTGTATACATCCGCCCTGCCTCAAACACGACTGTGTCGGGCAGCCCGGGGTCGAAAGTTCGACGCCCACATGATCTAGCGCTATAGTCGCCTGTAGTAGACTGTAGTAGTATTCTTTTATTTATAGTGCAGAAACCAAAACAGGCAGATGCCTAATAACAATGGACCCACTGTGTAGGGTGGAGGAGGGGGGAGACATGGCTAATGGTAAATAGTGGCGACGAAATAAAGCAGTTCCAGCACAGCTACAGAAACATGGGCGTAAAGCTAAAAGCAGGCAAGAATGTGTTGCAAAGCGCTTAACTTGAAGGCGGCCAGTTTGGTGACGCCTTGGATATCCGCATGGAGAGAATTCCAGAGAACTGCGCCAGCATGTGTCACCAATTTGGTAGAATGTGCAGAAGCAGCTGCAGGGACGATAAGCAGGTTACTGTTGCCTCCTCGAGTTCTTCGTGACGAAAGAGGTTGAAAAAAGTTTCAAACAATCTACTTCCTGAAGAATTTAGACAACGCCATATAAAGCAGAGCAAGTTAAGTTGAATGGTAGCGCGCAAGGGAGAGACATGTACACGCTCAAGCAGCGTAACAGTGGGGGTCCATGGGGGCACTTTACATACAGCACGCAGTGCGCGCTTGAAGAGCAACACGTTGAACCATTGTCTGCCAGCACATTGACGTGTCAAAATGTAAGCCTAGATACTTGGCCGATGGTACCACCGGCAGATCTTGACTATTGCATGTCCCGCGTAGGGCGAAGGGTGGTGCTCTGTGAGGAGGGATGGGTAGGATTTGTGTTTTCGTTTCATTCAGAATTAAGCCACACTGTCGTAGCCAGTCAGACAGGTGTTGTACTGCACCGGACAGTCGCTGAGCAACAATTGCCGGTGTCTCGGCACTGGCTCGTAATGAGATGTCATCTGCAAACTGTGTTGGGGTAACACCGTATGGCCTCACCACATGAGGTATATCTCGAACATACACAACGAAGAGCAATGGACCCAGCACTGATCCTTGCGGAACACCACAGCTACTTGCGTAGGCAGCACTTTTGCATGGGCCAATCTGGACGTACTGTTGACGATCGGTCAGGTAGTGGGCCATCCACTGCAGAGCAGCGCCGCCTATGCCGAGAGCGTAGAGAGCACTAACTAGAGTCTGATGCTACACTTTGTCGAAGGCTTTCGACATGTCTACAAAAGCTACTCCAGTGTAGAGGCGTGCCACTTGTGCCTGTTTAATTTGCTCTACCGTTAACACTAGGGCATCAGAGGTGGAGTGGTGGCTACGAAAACCAAATTGTTCCATTGGTAGCAGATCTTGGCTCTCCAGAAAATCAGACAGTTGCTCATGAACAATCCGTTCAAGGATCTTGGAGACCACAGGGAGTAGGGAAACTGGTCTATAGTTCTTAGGTTGGCTGGGGTCACCGGCTTTGAACAGTGGGCGGCTGCATGCCACTTTCATTGATTCTGGGAATTTCCCCTCCCTCAGTGATCTGCAAAGTCAGCGATGGGGTCAGCATATCCCCACACAAACGGAGAAGGACAGTTGGTATACCATCGCGTCCAGTTGCTTTAGTTGAATTCACTGATTGCAGCAGCTTTCTGACCTTGGCTATAGATACTGGCTGAAACGAGTACAAGTTCACCCGCGGGGCAGCACCAGAGGGGATTCGGAGCACTGGTGGTCTAGTTTTATCGTCCACAATAGTCGCGAATACTGCAGATATCTCCTCTGCTGAGCACTGTGGTGGAGGGTTCACACGGACTTTCCTGTCAGTTCTTTGATGACCTGCCAAGAGCATCTAGGATTTCCTTCACATCGGCTGAATGTTGCTAAGTAGTGGGACCGCTTCTTCTCACGGTTGCAGGATGTAGCCTCACTCCGTGCAAGTCGGTATGATTCATAGCGCCGATCTGTTCTTTCCTTGAGTCATGTTCGATGCAGTCGATTTCGCTTCCTCAGTAAGTACATCAGCTGCTGATCCATCCAGGGTACATGGCAGCGGTGTGTTGGTTTACGGGCTTGGACTGGCCTGTGTCATCTCCATGTACAAACTCCCAGATGTCAACGTTAAAGGGGAAGTTACGTCTAAAATCAAATTTTCACCAGTTGTAGTCTTCGGGGTGCTGAGTCGAATGGTCTTGATCCGAGGAAGCTGAGACGCTCCCTTCCTTCTTTTTCCCCAATCGAACTCGCGCACTTCCACCGAAACTGGGTGACTGCGCCCTACTAGATGGGGATTTGTATGCAAAATGTCACTAAAAGCGCCATGTCGTTCTTATAAAAGCACGGATGACCGCGATTGGTCAATATGTTGTAGTCTTTTGGCCGCTGAGTCGACTGGTTTTGGTCCGAAAAGGCTGCGATGCAGCGTTCCTCCTTTATTCCCAATCGAACATGGTTGAACAAGCGGTCACGTGCTCCTGCGTACACCAATCACCTGGTCACCGTGCCTGCAGGGTACAACTTACTAGCCTGTTTGGCCTTTTTTGGGTGCAGTCCTGTCACTCGAGTTGAACTCGAGTTGAACCTTGGTGTGAAAGTTGTCGCCTGCTGGCGCGGTGACCAGGTGATTTGGGCACCCAGGAGCACTTGACCGCTTGTTCAACCATGTTCGATTGGGAATAAAGGAGGATCGCAGCCTTTTCGGACCAAAACCAGTCGACTCAGCGTCCGAAAGACTACAACATATGGGCCAATCGCGGTCATCCGTGCTTTTATAAGAACGACATGGCGCTTTTAGTGACATTTTGCATACAAATCCCCATCTAGTAGGGCGCAGTCACCCAGTTTCGGTGGAAGTGCGCGAGTTCGATTGGGAAAAAAGAAGGAAGGGAGCGTCTCAGCTTCCTCGGACCAAGACCATTCGACTCAGCACCCCGAAGACTACAACTGGTGAACATTTGATTTTGGACTTACCGTAAAGTCGCGGATAAAAGCCGGGTTTGCATACAAGCACATCGCGGATAGAAGCCTGAAAATCGAACGAGTCAAATGCATATAAGCCTGTCGCGCGTAGAAGCCTGGCTTCTATGCAAGCACGGATCGGGTAGGTCAAGAGTGCATGCGCTATGTACCATGGTGCATAGTAAAACTGCCGCCATACCGGTAGTCAGTGATAGATCTACGCGTGTCGCGAAGATCTACCATATCAGTGGTGCATACTTCAAGTATAAGCATGGTTTGCATACAAGCCTGGTTTGCATTAAAACCTGATGCAGAAAGCAGCTTGTGTGCTTATAAGCCCGGCTTTTATCCGCGACTTTACGGTAACTTCCCCTTTAAAGTGGAAGTACAGCCTGAAATCAATATTTCACCACTCTTAAGTTCTAATGGGTACTGAGTCAAAGTATGTTAGTCGGAGAAGGCTGCAATACTATATCATTCAACCCTTACTCCCAATTGAACACAGCCTTCTGTCAAAGTATAAGAAAGGGACAGTCCACCCTAGGGTAAAGATGTCCATCGGTAGCCAGCATCACCTTGAGCCCACATCCGAAAGGATACACACCGCATTGAGTAGACCTTGCATTTTGAGGGTGTGTTACCTTGCAAAATACCTACTTCAAGAAGTAGTTGATGATCTACACCAGAAGAAGGTCTTAGCAGTATGGTGCTCTGAAGCCTTGTTCAGGTCACTGCTTTTCATCGGAATTTTAAAACTAAAACAAAGTGATCCCCATCCTATTTCGTGTACTGTTGTTGCTGCTATTTCTCCGCTGATGTCACTGTTGACTCACTGCTGCTGCTGCTGTCTCAGGCGAAAAGACGGATAGACTACGAATGGCACGAGATTTTCTTCTTGGTCGTGTCTGTGCTGTCTGTCCTGGTTGCCGTCGGCTTTTCAATCTATCGCATGGTCGAAGAATACGATGCCTCGGCTCCTAAGGACAAAGCCAGCTTTACATTTGCTGTGCTAATTGTCTTCAACGCTGGTAAGGTTGTTACCTGTTTACTGTTAGCGCTTAGGTACAGGACGGTGGCTGTTACGTGCATACTGGTGTGGACTCACACCCACGTATCACCTTTGCATTACCGTACACTTACTTGTGTTGGCACAATGCCATTGAGGTCTGATTGTGGTGGTGGTGCAGTGGATGACGGTGGTATGTGCAGTGAGCGTACACTTTGGAGAACGCCCTTGCTCAAGAACGACTTGTAGACTGTAAAAGTTGGAACGACATTGGCTTTAGCGTCACCTTATAAGCACTTTTCAGGGTTTTTTTTAACTTTTCCCGACCTAGGTAGTTTCCCTTTGCTCTGACTACACTGCCTGCACAACCAACACTGTACCAGAAACAGATAGAGAAATTACACACGTGTCCGCCATTGATCATCATCAGCGAATCTTTGATGACCGCATTCAGTTTGCGAGTGACGTGACTGGCCTATGTCCTAGAGTATTCATGCTCTATGGTGGTGTTTGTTGTCACATTGGCAGTGCTCCACACCTCCCTTTTCTAGACTGCACACACATACTATGTACATTCCCTGCACACAGGTCTCATGATGCACTGCAGTGTGTACTGTACACACATATGTACGTCATTCCCTGCACACAGGTCTCATGATGCACTGCAGTGTGTACTGTACAGTCAACTCCTGATATAACAAACACCATTGTGCAGGAGAAGTAGTTCCTTATATCCAAAATTTTCTTAATAACAGAATTGCACTTACACCATACAAGCAATCCATAATGGCTGGTATGTGACCATGGCTGTATTAGTACACATGATTTACATGCGGTCTTACAAGATATGATTCGTTATAAACGAAATCTGTTCGCTAAAAAGGGTCAATTTTGTATGGGTTCAAACAGGGACATGGACAATGGTTCGCTATATCAGAGTTCGTTAAAAGTGGAGTTGACTGTATGTACATGTAGGGGAGTATAGATGAGATAATGCTGCTCTATATGCTCTTCAAGTGGAATGCATGTCCTTCTACTCTGCAAGTCTGTTGGTACTTATTGTATGGGAGTCTTGTGTGTGTGTGTGTGTGCGTGTGCGTGCGTGTGCATGCATGCGTGTGTGTGTGTGTGTGTGTGTGTGTGTGTGTGTGTGTGTGTGTGTGTGTGTGTCGCTATCCCCGGCTTCGGAAGCGGAGGCTTGAATGGCTTGGCCATGTGGCCCGCATGCCGGATGTTCGTGTGCCCAAGCAGCTGTTGTTTGACTTCCTACCGTCGCCTCGGCCTGCGTGTGGTCCCCGTCATCGCTGGAGGGATGTGATTTCGGCTGATCTTCGGCACATCGGCATTGAACATCTGGCTTGGTATGGGATTGCTCAGGATCGGTCTGCCTGGCGAGTGTTTGCCATTGGGCCGAGCCTCGGCGGTCCTTCCCATGACCAATCTCAGCGGGTGGACTGTCTTATCTGCCACCGTTCGTTTCGTCGGCCAGGTGACAAAGCAAGACACAAGTGTAGCGCAGAGCGAAGTCTCCCCATCCAGGATCAGCGTGTTGCTGTGCAGTGTGGTACATGCAGGAGGTGGTTTCACTCTCGTGGTGGCTTGCGTGTACATCATTGTTTGCCCCTGGAACCATCGGAAGCGTCCGCGCCGGCATCACCTATTCCGCTCAACGTCCCAGCTCCTCTCTTGTGTGTGACATGCAATCGGCGATTCAAGTCAGTGCCTGGTTTCAGACGTCACAAGTGCGACCGTGGCCATCGAGCAACCGAGTCTGATAGAGCGTCATATGGTGTTCGCTGTTCTCGCTGCAACCGTCAGTTCCGTCGACAGAGTGACCTGAGTCGTCATCTCCGTTTCTGCTCCTGACAATGACTCTGGCTCCTTTCGGAGTGGTGTGGCCCTTGTGGCAACCAAGCTACAGTAGTAGTAGTAGTGTGTGTGTGGGGGGGGGGGTCGATTCACATGGCTTCGCCAGTTGTGTGGATTAGACAGTTATCTGGCGCTTGTCTTGATCTGTTTCAATCAGAATCAGATCCGCTATCGTTGCTATAAAGAGAAAATCTGTGGGTGCACATCCAGTGCATTTGCAGATTTGCGTGCTTCTCTTGCGACGGGCGTATACATGGTACATGGTGTGTGTGTGTGTGTGTGCATGTGTGTGTGTGTGTGTGTGTGTGCATGCGTGTGTGTGTGTGCGTGCGTGCGTGCGTGTGTGCATGCGTGTGTGTGCAATGTACTGGCAATAGACATTTTGTGCGATTGCCTTTCTTTGCTGAGGTTCTCACTGGTCTATGCTGTCTTTCTCTTCCAGGGTTCTTGCTGGTGTATGCCATCCATGGCATTATCTTCGAGCACGTGGAGGAGATGATAGGGTTTGCTGTGGCCTCGACCGTTGTCTTCGTCTACGTATTAGTGGACTATATTCAGCATCACAGCACCGCCGATAAAGTCAAACTGGTATGTGTGCAGGTGCATTGGAACAACTTGCTTGACTGCTGACCCTATCAACCATGTCAACCATGTCCCACCATGTCAACCTTGTTAGCCACGCTTTTCTCCTGTTTGTATGAAGCCATGTTGATTAGTGTGTTCACTGACCACTGTGACCATGGACGTCTCGAATTCATTGTTCATTAATGCTGTGGATCATCCGATGTCCATGGAAAGGAAGACAACTGACAAGTGAATTGTCGCCACCATGTACTATACTACATGTACATACAAGGTGCTCCTGGCCATTTTGTTTCCATTTTTTTAAGTACTGCCATCGTGGCGATGGAATTTGAAAATGTCTCTCTGTAGATCTCTGGCAAAAAGCCTCCTCCTTTCGCCAGTAACCTATTATTAAAAACGGCCATTGCGTCTACTCCTGCGCCACTTAAATTTGTTGCTGGGCTTCTGTATTTTCTTTTGTGTTACTGTAGGCGCGCTTTATCCTGGTCGTTGTGGGCTTCCCAATTCTGGTCACTCTGTCACTTTATTGTGCAAAGCAGTTTAGATGGATCAAGTTTCGAGTGGCTGGTGCTTCAGAAGAAATGCAATGTGAGTATTGGCAATAGTGAGCTGTGTTTGCAATTGCAATGTAAGTGTTGGCAAGTGTGTTTGCGATTGCTATGTAAGTGTTGGCAAGTGTGTTTGCGATTGCAATGGTGTAACTGTCCCTATTGCAATGGTGTAACTGTCCCTATTGCAATGGTGTAACTGTCCCTATTGCAATGGTGTAACTGTCCCTATTGCTATGGTGTAACTGTCCCTATTGCTATGGTGTAACTGTCCCTATTGCAATGGTGTAACTGTCCCTATTGCAATGGTGTAACTGTCCCTATTGCACTCCACGGTATGTACTTACTTCTGCAACTACATTTTATATTGTTTTATTGTTCTTGTTTTGGCGGTGTTGCTGCTGTTGCTGCTGCCCCTTGCCGTCTGGTTGTGTAGCGATATACTCAACGTTTTGCAAGATGGAGAGTTTGTTGCTGTTTGACTTCCAAATTGCTGTAAGTAATCGCACTGGTGATTCACACAGTACAACAGTGCAACAAGGCTAGTTGGTTGCAAGTCCAAGTTTCATGCTCATTTCAGTGCAATCATCAGTGCAATCATCAGGCAACATAAAGATGCGTTTGGCCACACCAGTCAGGGAATAATTTATTTTCGATCGTTACACAAAATCAAACTTGAATAGCAATTCGAAAATGTTGCATAGCAAATTAACACTTGACAACATTGTCATTCTGGAGAGCTGATCAGAGTGCAAGCTCAGACCACAAGTACACTGTAACACCTTAGTTGCAAACCGAGCCTGGTGCCAGGATGCATAGCTCAGCACTGTGCATCAAAGGGTACAGTGAAAAATCAATGTGCATCGCAGTTTTCTGCGACACGCATCTGAAGTTGCTTCGCACCTCAGAAGAAATGCGTAGCAAACTGCGATGCGATACCGGTTTAATTATTCCTTGCCAACTGTTTCGTCCTTTGTGGACTCGTCAGCGCAGCACAGAGGAAATGAGGCCGAACCTGATAGCAATGGAAATAAAAATTTCCAATCAGACCCGAACGTACCTTGCCAGAGTGCTCAAACTGACAAGTCAGTGAGCTCTGCATAACGCAAACAGCAAAGGCACTACCCCACGCAAGAGTGCTCAACTGCTACAAGAGCAGGAGCGAAATACTCAATCTGCGGACAGAACTGTTTCGTCCTTTGTGGACTCGTCAGCGCAGCACAGAGGAAATGAGGCCGAACCTGATAGCAATGGAAATAAAAATTTCCAATCAGGCCCGAACGTACCTTGCCAGAGTGCTCAAACTGACAAGTCAGTGAGCTCTGCATAACGCAAACAGCAAAGGCACTACCCCACGCAAGAGTGCTCAACTGCTACAAGAGCAGGAGCGAAATACTCAATCTGCGGACAGAACTGTTTCGTCCTTTGTGGACTCGTCAGCGCAGCACAGAGGAAATGAGGCCGAACCTGATAGCAATGGAAATAAAAATTTCCAATCAGGCCCGAACTTACCTTGCCAGAGTGCTCAAACTGACAAGTCAGTGAGCTCTGCATACCTTGCCAGTATATATATATATATTTAAATCATGCTAATAAAAAACCTCCACACATTCCCCATTTGGACAACTGGTATTTATTTTGTATAATTACCTGTATAAAACAATTGTTCTCAATAAAAAACCAGTAATAAAAACCACTAGGCAAATAAACACTCGTATAAAAAACCCCTTTTTAGGGATGAAGAAGGAAGCAAGCACGCACTAAACTAACACACAAACACAGAATCATTGAAGTTACACGCACACACACCGTGACACACACACACACACACACACACAAAGTACATCAATACAGCATATGGCAAGACAGTTCAAAACGTACACTCTTCCTTCTTGGGCTTCTTTTTCAGCTTCAGGCTGAGCTTGCTCTTACTCTTGCGTTTCTCCGTAGCAGGCATGATTGGTGTAAATTGACGAAAGCCCAGCAGCTTCAGAAATGTTGCGCATCATCTTGCCCAGCGTATTGTGGCCCATGGGTTGGTTCATAAACCAAATGGGACAGTCTTCAGATAGCACGGTTGCTCCATACCTGGCCCGTTGAAACAAGCGATCTTGTTGTGGGTTCAGTTTCGACAGGAATCGCTCAAATACTGAGATCGTCTCTGGCTTGGTGATAGCACCCTTCGTATCTGAGCTGGTTCCGCGAAGGCCACCTTGGTGATTCTTTGATTGGAAATCACAGTGCAACACGATGGCCCTCTCGCCAGCAACTGTCGTGAATTGCAAATCCGATGGCTTCAGCTGGCTCTGGGCCTCACTTCCCCTCAGACAGAAGTGAAGAGTACACTGAAACCAGATGTAGTAAGTAACCTTCTTGATATCCAGCGTTGTCGACACGTCGGAAAAGTACGCATTCAGCTTCTTCCAGTCTTCCTCTGATAGACCATCCTTGTGATTGACGGCCATTTCACGTCCGTCTCTCTTCTTCTCTTTGAGCGTTGCATCCAGGAGTTTGTTGGCACGTGAGAAAACCGGGCTCTGGATATTGATGCCACGGTCCAAACGATTGAGCTCTCGCTGAACAGCTCCACGTGCTGCTAAATAGCTCGATCTTTTATACTCTTGGCCATCTTTCCTTTTCAGACTGCAGTAGAAATTCTCCAGAATCCCAGCCAAATCTTTCTCGCTGATCTTTTCTAAATCACACTGCATCCCCATTTCGACAACAAAATCGTTCAAAACAGTCAACCAATGTCTGGTTGCTGCTCTCGTTGAGGCAGGGGTAGCATCCTCAAGAAGCTTCTGCTTCGCTTCGTCTGATAACGAAAGAAAGCGACTCGGACACTCACTCTCAGCCATCTCTTCGACAAACACGAGGCAATGAAAGAGAAAGAACTCGCGCATGCGTATACATGTAATTCGAAGGATGCAATGTTCGTGTAACTGCTGCACGTGTCGTTTTTTTATTAGCATAGATTTAAATAAAATACATACTTCGCCCTCGTGTTTACGGGAAATCAAAATCCTCGATAAAAAACCTCGGCTACGCCTCGGTTTTTTATCTCGGTTTTTATTTCCCGTAAACACTTGGGACTCAGTATGTATTTTATACATATATATACAAGGAGAAACGTGGAGGTGTTAGTTGCTTTGGTGACTGGTGATTTATACTTAGTAATAATTGTTGTGGCTCTTTTAGATTGTGTAGACAATGTGTAGGCAATGTGGTGATGCTCTTTGCATGCTAGAATCAGCACCTTTTCCAAGCAAGAAGCGGGAAGAAGGATGATGAAAATCACTTGCACTGAGTGAAAGATATGTGCAATTGTGGCAGGATGCTTTATGTAGATATGGACACTCCTGCAAGGACACAGTGTTTGCACTCATGGTGTACGTGTGTGTGTGTGTGTGTGTGTATGTGTGTGTGTATGTGTGTGTGTGTGTACGTGTGTGTGTGTACGTGTGTGTACGTGTGTACGTGTGTGTACGTGTGTGTGTGTGTGTGTGTACGTGTGTGTGTCTTCTCTAGGTCAGCTTGTTCATTCTTGTGCTGTACCGGGGTGCATCGCTAGACGCATTGGAGACGGCGCTACTGTCAGTTGGTCTCTGCTATTGCCTTGCCTGGGCTGTGGCAGGCTACTAT